AGATGACGACAGCTCACGCCATTATACAAATAAATTTCTCAACAATTGTATTCGAAAGCAAAAGAAGAAAAAAAAAAAAGAAGTCTGCCGAGCCGATGGATCGATCTTCGGGAAAATTTTATCTCAAACTCTCCTGCTCTACGCGTATCGACGGCGAATTTCCTTTTTACGAGGCTTCTTCGGAGAACACACAGAAAAATTCAATTTCGTAAATGAATTCTTTGCATACATTCATGCGCAACGTCAAAGATTCTTTATGGATAAGCGTGTGTGGGGTTGCGAGGGAAGCCGCGGTGGGACGGAGGGCGAAATTGGCGCAGTGGATGCGGGGGACGATAAGCGGATTGCGAAATTCGACGGTGATACGGGGTGGGGCAGGGCGGAGGAATCAAGGGACGAAGTAGCGATAGGTATTTCCGGGATATCGACAGCTGTCGGCTGGCGAGGCGTACATTTTCACGCGGCGATTATTAAATTCTTTCCATTCAAAGGAGAATGGCTCCGAAACGGTTTAAGCCCGAACGGGGATCTTTCTAACTTTTCAATTGATTCACTGTGATTCGCTACTTGTTTCTTAAATTGCCGAGATTCCGGATGGCAAATTTATATCCAACATAAAATCGAACGTTCACGGTTTGGCTGTGATAGAAAAAAAAGAAAAGAAATGCAAAACAGGGAGCGAACCAAACAGAGAGAGAGAGAGAGAGAGAGAGAGAGAGTTCCATCTCGGAGCAAAGTGAGCTTATGTTAGCGGTGTCGTGATTCATCTATCCCGGACTCGGATGGCCGGAATCTTTAAACGCTTTATCTGCTACCGGAATCTTAGCTTAGGCCGAGTATAAAGGCCGGCGGCCAGTAACAGCCGTCACTTTGTCGGCCTTTGTCACGGGGATTATGCGCCGGCTGGCAAATTATGACGGACACCTTCACGCCCAGAACACCCTCTAATGCGCCGGATACGGAAGAGAGAAAAGGAGCAGCCGTAGGGGTGAGGGAGGCGAGAGTGACGAAAAGGGAAGGACGAAGAGAGAGAGAGAGAGGTTTTCATAAGCACCGAGACAAGTTCTTTGGGAGGCACGCCCGAATTATACGCGGGATTCAGGGGGATTGTAAATTTAAAGGGGATGCAAGTGGATTACCAGAGAGTATTCCACACTCGCGGAGATTGATCGCGATGGCTCGTTGATCCCTGAAAATCCGATTAATCGGAGTAATTAAACGAACGGGAAGTTTCGAGCCACCGGTGCGCAAAATGTTTTTCGACTCTCGTCATCGAATTAGAATTCTCGCGAGATGAATTCCATGTTGTTTTATTTTTTTGTTTTTTTTTTTTTCCTCCCTCTTTTCTCGTATATACGCGCGACGAACGAAAAAACGGTACCTATAAAAAGGTAGATTGCCCAGAACCATGAACCAAAAGTCCCCGGGTCGCTGTTGCAACAATGCTGCAACCCCCTTTTTTTTTTTTTTTACATCCTCGAGCGTCCACGGTAAACCGTACAGAATTAATAGTGTGGACAGAGGATCGTCGAATTAAAGCGACAGAGGACTATCGTTTCCAGAGAGACTTCTTTCCTTTCTCTCTCTCTCTTTCTTTCTCCGTCCCTTTTCCTTTTTTTTTTTTTCCAGGAGAATTTTTCAGGAACAGGAGGCAGCCAGCCCTCCGGTTCGGTAATTCTCGGGCATTCGCGCACAGGGACAGTTTGATTTATAGCATAATAAAGCGGTTACGCAAAGCGTGGGAGGATCCAGGCTCGTGAATTTTATTTACGATCTGCCCGAAAGTTCAGATTCGTCGCGGTTTCTCGGCGGGTGCCCCGCGCTCGTAAAATCGTCTACGAAATGCTCGTCCCCCGCTCAGCTGGTGATCGCGTTTCAAGCCTTCCGAGGCTAACGTCGATTTTCTCCGGATCGGTAGGACAAAACTGGCCGACGAGCTTTCCCGCCACGATTTCGAACGTCATCGTACCGTGAAACCGTCGCTCGAACCTTCCGGCTTTCTCAGTTCCGTGTAAATGATATTTACGATACGCTGCGCGGATTAGCCGTGGTTAACGGAACTTTGATATGCTATCGGCGAGTGGATGCCACTTGGAGGATAATTAACGACGATCGAGGTTCGTCCTCTCTCTCGTGAGTAATTAGGGTGTCGCTTCAGGATCAGTTTTGATAATGGAGCGAAGACACGGGTTTTGTTAACGGTGAAACGGAAAATAGTTTAGCGATAGTTCAATGATAAAAATTTGACGTTGTTGTGAAATAAATTTTCACGCGTCTGTATTTCAGCGAATTCTTCGATCAAATGATATCAATGCGAATTACTTTTGAAATAATTTTCCACACATTCAGACAGCAAAATTCTTTTAAATTGATATTGGTGTAACAAAGTTTTATTACAAAAATATATTTTAGTGATAATTAAAAATCAACGATATTATTTATAGTTTAAAATAACGAGAATGAATTTTTGAAAAATGAATAAGTAGAATTTATTTTGTACCTTTTTGTATCAGGGTTGATTAATTTTAATTACCTAAAGTAAATGATCCATATATATATATATATATATATATAATTTTTATATATATATAAAAAAAATAAATATATATTTAGAAATTAAATGTTTGTCGCATTTACCAATATCTAGTTTATTTCAAACAAATTTAATTTAATATAAGGAAAGAAGAAGGAACCGCGAAAGGGAAAAAAAGAAAAAAAAATTGTGATCGACGAAATTGTTCGTTTACCTGAATAAGAGCCGAGAGAGCGTCATCGAAGCCATCCGCCTCACGGTCGCGGCAGCAAACAGAGCTTGTTTCTCGCCAGCGGCGTGTTTCGATACGTGCTCCGAAGGCGATCCGGTGTTCGCGGTCCATTATGCCTGATCATAATTGCGTCGCAATAACGTTTCGCCTTTCCAGCGTCCACAGCTGGGCGGTTTCCTTTCATCCTGGCACTGCCCGCCAGAACAAGCTTCTGTTTCCGAGGTGTTTCCGCCGCCGGCTACCGTTCTGAAAGCTGGAACTTGATCCTAAGTAGCTGACATTGTGATAGAACTGGCCTGGCACCGGTCAGAGAGAGAGAGAGAAAGAGGGAGAGAAAGAATCAAACAAAGCAACGTACGTGTGTTGCGACAATCACGGCGCAGCAGATAGGTGACTTTACACGGAAAATGTGGAATAGAATGATGTTATATAAAGTAAGAAATTTCATTCGCCGGACTATATAGATGTCAGATGTAATATTTCGTTGTTTGAATTATGCATCGTATACACAAGGTTAGTTGTTAATCAGAAAAAATAATAAGCCCAGAATAGTTATGACCGATAAAAATTGACACTTTTCTGGGTACCCGATAGCAAGATAATCAATAATTTTTCCAATATTAAATAACAATTTCACTGACTGAATTTCATTTAATATTGACGCAACGTCCAACACAATTTTGACAGTTTCTTAGAAATTATAATCATTTCTTTTTTTCTTTTAAATTCTTGACTTAGGCCACTCTTATATGTATTATTCTATTATATTTTATTATCTATCTATTATATTATATTATATTATGTTATATTATATTATATTATATTATATTATATTAGGGACTCTGTTTCTGAGACAAAGTTTAAAAAATCCATCAAGCACGCGGCCGTCAGGCCGATTTTGAACCGAACAAGCACTATTCTATCAACCTACTATTTTTCGTCTGAAGTCACAGACGTTTAAAATTCGATTTGATCGGAAACGAGATACATATCTATCACGAACACCCTGTGTCCACGTATGTACGTGCGTACGAGAAAGAAACATAGATAAAGATTGAAGGAAATTGCGGCGAAACACACGAGAGTTACTACTTTGTAGTAATGGAGGGTAAGGAAAAGAAAGATAGAGAGAGAGAGAGAGTGAGCGAGTGGCGCCGCGAAGGAACGACGTTTCCTCCTTTTAAATTATTCCCGCGGCCTGCTGCTCGTTTGTTACTGGTCCTACGTTGTTATTGCTTTCTATGGCCCCACGGTGAAAATCCCTGTCGACGGAGAAATTACAGGCCTGTCGTGAAACACGCGGGGGCCAAGGGAAATTGGCCGATTTGAAATTGTTGCGCTCGCGAATGTTGCGAACGAGGTAAAGACGATCGTATGTAGATTATCGTACAGGTGAAATTCGAGAGGTGGTTGGAAACGATCGTTACATTTAACGCCCCCCCCCCCCCCCCCCCCCCCCCCCCCCCCCCCCCCCCCGCCCCCCCCCCCCCCCCCCCCCCCCCCCCCCCCCCCCCCCCCCCCCCCCCCTCTTCCTCTCCCCCTTCGTGCAGACGCGTCGCGACTGCGATTTTCCACCGCTACTACGATTTTGCTACGAGCTCAACGTTGAATTTTATCTTTCGCCCTTCGTGCAAGTTTGTACCCCTAATGATCCGGTGCGCACGAGCGTCAGGACCTCGTCTGTTGCGCCGTTAAAAATATAAACGTCGTCAGTCGGGAAACTGCGTTGCTCGTTTGCATGTTTGGAATTTGACAATAATTCTACGAAAAGATTGGGGGATATTTCAAAATGAATGTGAGGCGATAAAAGAAAGAACATCAGATAATATTACGTCGTTTGCTTTTCGAACGTTCTTGTTTAATAAAAAAAGAAATCAAATTTTCTAGTTCTTTTTCATCGCTTAATTTTCGTGAGCAGTATATTTTCCGCAAATACTCGGTTTCAAATCCTTTCTATCGTTAATTATTTCTCAAAGTTTCTATTTGTATTTTTATTCCGCTTCTGTTCATAAAGTTTCTATTCTATTTTATGTTTCCTATGCCTTGTACAGTGGTTTCGATTTTCTATAAATTTAACGACGACGGTCCGAGTCAACGACAGATGAATTTTTCAACTGGCTGCGGCACGTTGTTCGCCGTGGAGGCGGGTCTTGAAAGTGTCTGGTGTATCTGTATCGCAAGATGTATTTGCCCAACAGGTTGAATAATGGTCATTTTCGAACTACGCGGGTAACGATGAAGACCTTATCTCCTTCGCTTGCAGTTTCGGCCACGGTAATCTCCGTTGGCTCATTATCATAAACCGTACGATGATTAATGTACTGGCAGTCGTCGTTCCCAGTTTGTAACACAGTGAAACAGGGTGATACTCGTCGTTAATTTGAAATTAACTCGCAATTCGTTAATCAGGAAACAAAACTCCAAACTTTGTCCACTTGATTTTGGAAAACAGATTTTTTTGTTTTTATAAAGTTACAGCGACGTTAAATGACATGTAACAAAATTTTGCACAATCGCGCTTAGTTACCCCCCCCTCTCTAAAAGTTGCAACAAGCGAGAGAAGTTGTCGAAAAATTACCAAACTCTTGGAATTGCAGAATGTCGAATTTTAGAACACAAACGACGAATTTCAGATCGCCGTGTGCCTGACGGTTCTCGCGTCGACGATCGCCGCCGGGGAGAAACCGACGAACACCGTTTCGGTGTCTTCTGGCACGGCAGCGATCCAGGGGAACACGATCCAGAAGTTGATCAAGATTCTGGAGAAGTACGGCCTGGAGGAGCAGAGGGGCTTGAAGAGGGTCTACCTGAGCAACAGGTCGATCACATGCAACGACGGATCGCAGGCTGGGTTCTACCTGCGGAAGTCGCACGGCTCCAAGAGATGGATCATTTTTCTGGAAGGTGGCTGGTACTGCTACGACCATAAAAGCTGCAGAAACAGGTGGCTCAGGCTCAGGCATCTGATGACGTCGACTCAGTGGCCTGAGACACGCGACGGTAAGCAGTTTCCTGTTTGAAAGTCGCCTAACTCGATAGTAGGGTTGTACGAATCCAAAAGCGCAAAAAAGAAATATATAAATATATGGATAGTCTTTTTAAATCTCATTAAATATGTCACGTTTCCCGTTTGAAAGTCGCCTAACTCGATAGTAGGGTTGTACGAATCCAAAAGCGCAAAAAAAAAATATATATATATAAATATATGGATAGTCTTTTTAAATCTCATTAAATATGTCACGTTTCCCGTTTGAAAGTCGCCTAACTCGATAGTAGGGTTGTACGAATCCAAAAGCGCAAAAAAAAAATATATATATATAAATATATGGATAGTCTTTTTAAATCTCATTAAATATGTCACGTTTCCCGTTTGAAAGTCGCCTAACTCGATAGTAGGGTTGTACGAATCCAAAAGCGCAAAAAAAAAAAAAAAAATATATATAAATATATGGATAGTCTTTTTAAATCTCATTAAATATGTCACGTAGTTTGCACCGTAAATTGGAACGAGCGACAAATATTATTGAAGCAATAACTGACTTTGAAAATGTCGATGATTGCAGTTGGTGGCCTGTTATCAGCGAACCCGGAGGAGAATCCGTACTGGTGGAACGCGAATCACGTGTAGGTATTGTCCATCTCGACAAGATCATCCTTCTTTCGTGCATTGAAATTTTTCCTACGACGTTACACTCGACTAAAAAAAGCGATCAAACGATCAAAGTTTCTTAAACGAGAAATTTGCTCGCCCCTTCAGATTCGTCCCTTACTGCACGAGCGACAGCTGGAGCGGCACCAGAGCTTCGCCGAACGAGATGTTCTCGTTCATGGGCGCAGAGATTGTGCTGCAAGTGGTGCGGGATCTGGTCCCCCTCGGACTCGAGAACGCGAGCTCTCTTCTTTTGGCTGGCAGCAGCGCCGGTGGCACCGGCGTCATGTTGAACTTGGACCACGTGCACAGTTTGGTTCATCACAGTCTTGGTAAGCTGCACTTTCAGCTCTTAGATTCACACCTGTCGAGGTACGAACTTCCATTTAATGAAAATTCCGCCACGGCACGCCCGCAGGCTTGAAACACATCGCGATCAGAGGCGTATCCGATTCGGGATGGTTCCTCGACAGAGCTCCCTACTCGCCGAACGGTTTGTCACCGGTTGACGTTGTTCACAAGGGGATGGAACTTTGGAAAGCTCGAATGCCGCGCAACTGCGCCGACGAGCACCCAAACGAACCGTGGAGGTGCTACTTTGGCTACAGATTGTACCCAACGTTGACTGGTAACTAAACTGTGAACCCATTGCCAAGCAAAATTCGAACACACTTCGTAACGCGAAGTATAAGTCGAGGTTTAAACGAAAATGTTCTTCATTTCTCTCGCGAAATTTACAGCGCCGCTGTTCGTTTTCCAATGGCTGTTCGACGAGGCGCAGATGTCGGCGGATAACGTGGGCGCACCGGTGACTAAGCAACAATGGGATTACATACACAAGATGGGCGACAGTCTGCGACAGACGTTCGAAAACGTCAGCGCGGTCTTTGCGCCGAGCTGCATCAGTCACAGCGTTCTGACGAAGAGGGATTGGCAGTTGGTCAAGATCGACGAGGTTTCCCTGGCGCAGGCGTTGCACTGTTGGGAGCAAATGCCGATTGGTAATCGTCGAAACGAGTGAGTATCCCGCACCACTTTCTTTTTTTTCTGCGCAAATTTGCGCGACGGCTAGTTGCAAGTCCTTGAGACACAATCCCGGAAAGACGGAAAGTTAACGAGGAAGACGTTGCATTTTCCAGCGAAAGTTTTCTACAAAGCGTCTCGTGTTTCACGAGGAACTAACTTCGCCGCTGTTAATTTCAGCACTCGTTCGCCAATTGAGACGAACCAGCCGTGCGCGAAGTCGTTGCGGAAACTGCTGCGATCCGGCCTGACGAAGGGAAACGGAACTTCGTTCGAGCCGGAAAGGAGCGGCAAGAGCGAGTTCGTGGCGGAGTTGCAGAAAGTCAGCTCGCCGATGACCGGTGGCAAGCCGATCGAGGGGAATGTCTCGCCGAACGTTTCCTCGCAGAACGGCAGGGAGAATAAAAAGAGGAAGAGGCGGAAGCACAAAGGGAAACGCAGGGAGAGGAACAAGGTGTCGAGGACGAAGAAGGAGAAGCACGAGCGCAGGAAGTCTGCAGGTAAATTGTTGTTTCTCCGTGTCTAAGTCATCTGGATCTTCTTAAAAATTTGTCGATCAACACATAGCTTCTTGTCAGTTCAATGTAACCTATACTATGTACAAGGATTTAAATTACCTGCGAGGATTAAAACAACCTTTACAGCGAAGCAATACATTGATCAGAAAAATTTGTCATTGCATATTAATTGGAAAAATATGAAAATTTTTCAACGAGAACTTGTCGAGCTCGTTCCTTTTAGATATCAGTTCGTCAATATCTGGTCTGACACAGGCAACACGAAGATGCTCGTCTGAAATTTTTCTTCTTATTTTATTTTTTCTGCGCCCATTATATTGTAATAATATTCTCGTCCCATCATTCCAATTTTGGTTAGGGTTGGACACACACCCGATCTAAATGATTAAACAGGAATTATTAAACGAAACAACGAGAGACGGAGGTTTTTCAAAAACGATCCGAACGCATTTTGTACATAATATTTCTTTAGTCAGTTCTCGAAGAACGCACGAATGACGAAGACGAAATTCCAGGCCGCCGGAAGGGTAACAAGCAGAACAACGACAGCAACCACACGGGCATGTTCAACGGGACCAGACCGCAGCGCTCGGTGATACCATCTGGCAAACGGAAGTGTGTCCAGGGCTGCCACTTCCGGTTAATCGAACGTTGCACTTGGCCGCAGTGTAATCACAGCTGCCCGAAGCTGCACAACCCGTTCACCGGCGAGGAAATGGACTTCATCGAGTTGTTGAAGAGCTTCGGCCTCGATATGAAGAGTGTGGCGAACGCGTTGGGCATCGACATACAAACGTTGAACAGTATGGATCACGACGAGCTGCTAAATCTTCTTACGCAACGGGCCAACTAATAGCCCTCCCCCCCCCAGACTAATGTTAAAAAGACTACATTCCGTTGATGGAACAGCGTAGTAATTTGTAACTTGTCATTTTCTTCGTCGTTCGATCGAGCGAGTGAAATGGCGACTCCTTAGGAATCTAGAATCTTCTTCGAGGAAAGAGGAAATCGAAAGGAAATTAAATTGTACATATGATTTGTCAGAGTTTCTACGAAATATTATTGGAATCGATCATCGTCCGACGGGGTCGAGTTTATCTACCAGCGAAATTACGAGAATCCTCGACTCTCTCGCGTGTGAAGCGTAAAATTTTCACACCGAGCGTCTTTAATTTATATTCGATATATAGGTTGTAATCGTGTAATATCGCGTTACGAGTATAATTCACCGTTGAACAACGCAGTTTGCTGATCACAGCCACCGACACGTGGCGTTCACCGTTCAATTTACCAAAACATCCTTCGCTTTCCTTCAACGTTTGTACCTGGTCGAGTAGAGAGAGAACAGCACGCAGCTATTGCAAACTTATTCCTTTCAATTGTACGACATTCGGATACGATATCGGTTAGGGCGAAGAGATCCTCCGGCTAGAAGAGCTAGCCTAGAGACTTAATGAAGTTTCGAACGAAACGAGCAATGCAATTAACAGAGGAATATCAAACGTATTACCGAAGAAAATTCGGGCTGAAAGACGTTCAGTATTAACACTGCCCGGCTTATGGTCGTGCTGCCGTTCGATGTCCCCGCTGGGACCGCGCCGGCGGGGGAGGGGTGGCAAATTAAGTCGAAACGTTCAACTCGATCCAATAGAACACGCCGGAACTGAGTTTTGCAAATTGATGCCAATAACGAGCAAACCGACCGACAAAGCAGCTTCATAGACTGATTAAATTATCTACCTCAACGAATCAAATCGTATTAACGTCCTTGTCTGTATTATAAACGCCGATTAGTATAGTTTAACGCGCGCACGAGTAATTAAGGAGTATAGCGTCAACGCGTGCGCGTGCACGTAAGAAGATGCCGCGCGTCGTTGTATCTAATTGTGCCCAATCATTGTAATATACTTCTCTATAGAATTAATCAATTATTTATTTAACGCGAGAGGAAGGAACGCAACGATCAAAGACGAGAAGGATTTCTTCTTTGAGCGTTTAATTTATTTTTCACGCGATGCGATCGATATCGATCGTCTTCCTTCTCCTCTTTCTCCTTCACCTCTTCGACACACTCTCTCTCTCTCTCTCTCTCTCTCTCTCTTCGCTCTCGCGTTCTTATGTACTTAGAAAGCATTGTTATTTTGTACTCACGTGATATTGTAAATAAATTGTATACCTGTTGTACTAAACGAACATCACACAGAGTCACTTTATTTTGTCACATTTATTGTTCAAACCTGTCAAAGGTTAAAATTCGTCTTGTGTTGAGACGCGTGAAGGTAGGACGTGTCTACTTTTGCTGATTATACACAGTGCTAAAGGTTGTGATTTCGTGTTATCTCCGTCCCAATTCGACTGAGTGCGGCAAACGTATATTTCTACACACTTTTTACTTGAATGATAAATTCCTGTGTACAGGAATCTCTTTCTTAATACAATGGATAAAGTTAACGCAGCTCAACACATGTGTTCTCCAGCATCTTCATTCGCTAGTGTAACTCAAAAAGAAAATTTCCCCATGAAGGAAATGACATGCTATTGTTCTTGATGCAATACGAGTATATTACCATGAATGAATGAATGAATCTTTATTTCAGCCTTTCGGCCTAGAAATAGACCTCAGTGCCTTACATTATTCTTTACATTTTGTTTCCCGTTTTAATTCCCTTGGTTGTCAAGTTTTCCCTTATTACTTTTCCCTTAGATCTAGTATTGCATGCTTTAACCTAACTTTATACTACACATAGATTAATTAGACTAATAGAGAATGATATTTGCACACTGCCTCTACTTAATATATTTCTCTTTGGTATTATATTTTCTTTACTTTAGTTGTGTCTCTATATTTAGTTTTCTGTTACTTTTTCTCTCTTTTTCACTCTCTTCCGCTAGGATCCTTTCCATGCTGACGAGGATATTACTATATAAAGATTATATTTTGGCTCTGAACCCAACAAATATTCGATCTGCCTCAAGAATTGCGAATAATAGAATATGTATGTACCTCACAGGCAAAACTTTTGCTGACAAACTCACGTCCGGTAATTCAAGCATACTTGTCAAAGACCGATTGATTTCTGTAAGGCTCCTAATTATGATAACCAAGCGAACTATTCTCTCCAACGTCTGTCCTATCATTTCCTCATAATGTCATATTGGATGCGTTCAAGCAAATGGGAATTAGAACCGTCTCACCTGTCTCCTTCATAAGAGTAGGATTCACAGAAACAGGATATACTTAATTTCCGCAGGTTTACATCCATTCAAACAAACTTCCAGAAAGTCTACAAATCTAAACTATGATGAAACTTCCTACTGGATTTCCATTTCAACGGACAATTGAAAGTGTTTGCAATGTAAGAGGGAAGGTCATCTGGCGAAGCATTGTCCCAACTCTACTAATGACTCGCAGCAACAGATTAAGAGCACTAATCGACCTAACCCAAGTGAGTGATACAAACGATCGGTCCTCAGTCTCTGGCGAGTGACGATCGGTTTCTCGGCAAACATCATCGACCAGTTAGGAGTAGCGATAAATCGAGTCGCCTCGAGTTGGCTGCACCTGTACCTAATCATCATCCTGTTAGCTCTCACGACTGCCCGTCCCTGCCTCTCCCGTTTGTTCAGCCACGAGCGAGGGTGATAATTCAATGTAGAATCAGAATCCGTCCCCCAAACCCCGACCGAGATCCGCCCGGCGCGTACGCACCGATCAGCTCGCCCTCCCGCCGCAGTCGTTCGTTGTCTCGAAGCTATATATTCCACGGCATACGCAGGAAATGGTGTTTAATGCCCGGCCGGTCAGGCCGGGTCTGACCCCCGGTGGTTGGACGGCAGTCGATGGAGGATGAACGCCGAACGGCCGACAGAGAAAAACGGAACGCGTTGCGTCGGACGGGCGACGAGGACAGGCTAGTGTGGTCCCCACCGAGCAATTGACGTGTCCGAGGAAGTGATGGAAGGATGGCACAATGTGCTTGAATGTCCCATAAGCGAGCGGGTTCTATATTAAACTCCGGTCCGGTTACGGGTCGTTCGTTCGGTTGTCCATCGTTCAGTCACTGGACTGTCTCCAGACGGCCGGATCGGTTCGACCGACAGCAGGATAACGCGCGCGATCCATCCTCTCCTGCTCTCCTCGTTTTCTCACATCGTGTCGTCTCTCGACGCGTGATTACCCCGCAGTGCTCACGCTGTAACCCTCGCGAATCCGATCGATCGATCGATCGCTTGCCCCGGCGAACTCGCACGGACGATGAGCCGATCGAGCGGTTCGCTGTCTTCTTAGAGAAAGCTGCGACGGTTCCGTAACACACACACACACACACACAAAAATACATACAGGCGCAACGAAGCGTGACTGAATGCTCGATCGGCCATCGAGGAACAAGGAGAACCAGGACTCGAGGGGTTCCTGGCCCGATCGACTCGCTGCCTCGCGGAGTGTGCGCGTGACGTGTAAGTGTTCTGTATCTTCCCGGTTCCGGTTATTTTTTAACTATACTTTCCGTTGCCTTTTTCTTTCAATTGTTCCAGCAACATTCTACTTAAAAGGAATAGTAATTTGGAATGTATCGTTGTTTTAGGACGTAATAAAATGAGTATTTTTGAATTAAATTGTAGACACGACGACGTTATCAACAAGAGGAATAGGCGACTATCTTTGTAACAGAACTTTTATTTTTATTTCAAATACAGGTAGATAGACCATTCCGACGCTGAAAAATTTATACACAAAGCTTGGATAAAGTAGTATCACTCGATGATGCTGAAGGGTGCGTTATTGTTGCTCCTTCATTTATTCTGCGAAATCGGTGAGCGTAAATTTCAATCTCTTTCCTCGAATGGCATTTGGAAATAAGAAACGTTGTCTCGTTCGATAAAGATTGCTAACGATAACGTTGCTTGCGATTCCAGCATTGGCAGCACAATGCGGCAAAGTATGGCTAACTGTCTCCTCATTGTGGAGACCAATCGCTGCCAGCGACAAGGTGGTCGACGCTGAGCTCGAAGTAAATTGGGATCTCGATTGTCCATCGAGCACAGGATATCCAGATACCATCAAGGTGTTCACTGCTGACCCAGCACATAGTAATAAGTTTTGTTTGCTTCTCTTGAACTCGTTTCTTTCTTTCAGAATTTAAATTCTGTTCTCCGATCAATGTTGACGAACCGAACGTAACGTAACGTTTCTTCACTCCCTTCCCTCATTCGTCCCTCAATCATTCTTTCGTTTTCATTCTCTTGGACATGCCAAGCGAAGTGTAGTTTCTCCTCAATTTCGTCGAGGTTTACAGTTCAGACGTAACCACGATATCACGATATCGGTCGCGAGACGCAACCATCGACATTGCACTTTCAGACAAAACGGTGAAACCTAAGCTGATTTTGACCTCGCTGCAATACCCACGGGGTTACTATCGAACGAACATCACCGTGGGACGGCCACCGCTTCCGGGTGGATGGGACACCAAGGACGGCGCGACACTTCCTGGTCCGCATTGCTTGAAACATCACGCTGCCCTTTACAAGGATGGGGTCATCCTTACCAGCTCATGCTTGCAGATTTGGCCAACGTGGATGTACGACTTGAGGTAACGTGCACTCTACCTTTCCATAAATTTCCAAACGAAAGTTTCACTCGCATCTGTGCAAAAAGATATTCGCCTCTCTTCTTCTTTTTTTTCTCTTTTTTCTCTCTTTTGTTTTTTAGGAGACAATTAGGAAGACTTCCGATAGGAAGCTTGATGATACCGGGGACGCACAATTCCGGGTGTTACAAGCACGGTGATCTGACGAGGCGAGACGCGTTTCAAAGATACCTTCTGACGCAGGATCGCGATGTGTGGACGCAGTTAGTGCATGGTGTAAGGTATCTGGACATCAGGGTAGGTTACTATCCGTCGATTCCGAATGGCACCGCCGTCGAGGAGGGCAACCACATCAGCAGATTCTGGATCAATCACGATGTCATACGGATCACCCCTCTCTCGGCCATCATCAAAGACGTGAGAAACTTTCTGAACGTCGCTAGGGGAGAGGTGGTCATCATGGACTTTCATAGGTAAATTAGGACGATATGAAATAATTCGCCGTTGCCGATTTAGCGGATCGATAATGCTGGGAGAACGATTTCGGTGATGGCCGGGCAAATTGATTTCAAATGGCTGTGAAATTGAGCGCAGTGGGTCAACGATATTTAGCAATTGGAAGGGAATTTTTGTACGATCTCGTTACGTGAAATGGAAATTGATATAATATTTGGCGATACATATTTGTACGATAGAGTGACACAGAGTTATACTACTTGTAGATTCCCTGTGGGATTCGAAGACAGACCGAGCAGGCATCGTCGATTAGCCATGATTCTCTTGCGAGAATTCGAAGGCCTGATTCTGAAACCGGATAGAGGTGTCGAAGGTCTGGGCCCGACCCTGAATGATATTTGGACCGGAGGGAAACGCCTGATAATTTGCTACGGCGACAAACACACCGTTAATGGTAAATTTACTTTATCAGTTCCTGTGTTCGATAGAATCGTCCGTCCAGTTCGCATTCACCGTGAAAAGAAAAAGAAAAGAACCACATGTCGATTTTGTTTCAGAGTACGACTGGCTATGGCCAACGATGTCTCAAGCCTGGGGCAACCAACAGACCGTGGAAGGTTTGTTCAAGTATCTGGACAAAGTAATCATGGGTCCGAAGAAGTCACGAAACAGTCAAAATCCACTGTGGGCAGTGATGGCGGAATTGACACCATACCCATTGGACATAATCTTCAATTTGTCCGGTGGATTACGGCAGATGGCCGACTCGGTGAACAGAAATCTCACGTACAAGTTCCAGGAGGAATGGTGGAAGGAGACGAACATCGTCGCGACGGATTTCTTCCTCGGGAATAATTTGATCGATGTGTCGATACAAGCGAACATTAAGAAGAGCAATATCGCCCAGTGGCGTCTATAACGCGACAGTAAATTCGTGTATTCTACGAAGATTTCACTTTGATTAGATGTTGAAGTTTGACGAACGTCTTTTCTTTTTTTTTTTTAGAAATGATTGATTAATCCTAGAAATCGATCGAATCGCTTTTCGGAATAAATGTTCTCTATGAAAATATTTCTGAAATTTCTTCGAACAATTGAAACGTGAGAAATTGATCGAAAAGAAGTATAAGAGGGAACAGGAGTTTAAAAAAAAATCTTAGGATAACTGTTGTAAGAGATATGTTATAAATTAAACGCTCTTAAATGAAAGTATCAATACATGCACTAACATAAAGATACGCTTTTTTCCCTTTCACAGTTTGAGTCAAAAATCGAGCTGAGTTCTTTAATACTGTCGAAGATTAAACGATATCTTGCTCTTTGGAAAATCATCAAAGCCAATCGTGCGTAACAGGAAAACTTCGTAAACTCGTATTTCTCAGCGTCGGCGTGCCAGCGCGAAAAACTGTTCAATTCAACGGCGGAAACTTCCTGCGCGAACCGCGTGTTCTACAATTCCTGAAAAGTTTTTAACGCGGCCATGTTTCCACAGAGGGGAAATAAACGAATTCGGGTTCGAAACAAATGCCGCGGCGCGACGTTCCCGAAACGTGTTTCAGCGAGGAATCGGCGTGGCGCGCGTCGATTTGACTTCCAAATGGGGCTGTAGGACGCAAGATCACGTTCGGGACACCGGTTTTCGAGGTAGTCAGTCGTCTGGTAGCAGTCGAACGACAACGAATCCATGCGAAGTGAATTTTAACGCGGCACCGTCGCGTCGATTCCTCTCGTGTGTGTGTGCGTGTGTGTGCGTGCGTGTGTATCCGACTTTCCTCTCGCGTATTCGCGCTCGTACCAACTTTCAAATACGCCACCGTGTCCCGTGCACCTCGCTGCATTACGACTCTTTTTCCCTTCTTTCTTTCCCTCTCCTTTCGCCCATTCTTATTTATAACGCCGTCGTTTCGTCGACCACCGTTGTCGTTGCTTTATCACAACGCTGATAAATGGTCATCTTCTTGCGCGTCGAGAGTGCAGTATGGCGCACGCAATGGAACGAATGAAATGTTGAGGAAACAACGAGCTACGCTGGCTATTCTTCGCCGTTTTCTTTCCCGGTACGAGGCCAGGCTGCCCCCGGCCAACGTGAAACAATGGAGAACAACCTTGCGAACGAGATGAAAGAGCTGTGGATCGTTTACGCCTGGTGGTCATGCGTTCTCGTTCTGAAGATGAACGCCCTGACGTGGTTCACTGGGCGAATTCGAGTCGCCAGACGGGTAAAATGGATCTTTATTTCGATCTTGGTTTTAAACTTACATTTTGTCCCTTAAATATCAGTAGAGAATCTGATTTGTCGGAAATGACAAAGAACGAGCACGGGTTAACTGACAGAAACGAGGTAATCTGTCATTCGATTTGCCAATCGCAATCGGCGTGTTAATACGAATTCTCTAATTTAAATTGGGAATAATTTATCTCTATTCTAAGTTAACTACACGATTATCGGAAATTCGGAGTTTAGAATTTACTTGATTAATACATCAATAATCGACACTTTAAAATTCTTAACATTATATAACAGGTATATATGTTCGTTGATTGTACCGTTATTTACTTTAGCAAATCACTTATCGTTACTGAAGTAATTTTTTAACGTACCAAAGTTATCTGTTTACATATGTACGTGCCTAAGTATGTATGTGCCTGGTAGAAAAGTGTAGTTCGAGTCTCGAAGAAAAGGGATTTCGTACCTTGATCGATAATAGATTTTTTTTTTTTTAATGTGCAGGATTTACAACTCCGTAATTGCAGCGTGTCGTTTTGATTGATTTTTCGCAGGTGATCCACAGCGAGGAGGATAAAATATGGCTGGAAGGTTCCGATGTAATTTTATGTCCGACCGGAGGCGGTCACGAGGACGTGGATCGCATTCGAAGTGCACATCAATACGATCTCGCAACTGTGCTCCCTTATCTGCTAATTACACCGATATGGCTGACTACGTCACCGTTGTTTCCTCTGGTTCGGATGATTTTACCCGGTTTCGCAATAATTAGCATATCGCACACACTGCTCCAGATGAAAATTGTGAACGTGCACCGTTACTGCGGGACAATTCTGTCTCTCTCGGAACTTTGCATTTTAATTTACATGTCCGCCGTATCCGCGTTTTACTACGCATTCTGATGTCAATGTAGTAATATATTTCTTGTAATACGAGAAACGCAATCGTTGCATTTTTATGCGATAAGCAGCTATAGCGTTCGACGTTTTTCATGCGTAAGTATAACAAATGAATGTAGGCATTATCTTCGATGTAACATTCAAACGGTCTAATTTGTAAAAGTTTAAAATGTGAAGATACATATTAAAATTTAAATTGTGAAAGAAGTCGAAGCTTTTATTTTATATTGTATTTTATATTTAAGAGATAAAGAACTTTTGATATAACTGTATTTGTCATTTGTGTATGTGAACAATTTTCGATAACAACCGGAAAAGAAAATACTAAATAGAATAACTTTGATAAAGAAAAGTCAAATAGAGAAAAAATTGAATTGTTAACGCAATAGAAAGGGAGCATTGCGATTTGAGCGATTTACGGTCTATTTAATTTGTGTAGAATTGCAGTGTGCATTTGTCATCGCGTTCAGTACGTGTCCGGTAACGCTCATGATTGACACGAGATCATATTACAAACGATAAGTAATCGTTGCAATCAATTCTTTGTCACAATCATAGTTTCAAACATTTTCTTTCACTTTTTCTACGACGAATAACATGACTCAAAATCACTTGAAATACCTGGGTAAAGTTCATGTTATACAACACTGGTTACAACGCTCGTTGGAAGCAAATCTTCGGTCCTTCCTGTGCACACGTGCTCATTACGTATCGTTGCAACTATCAATTTCGAGTTCTTAAGCAATTACAATGCTCTTCGTTCTGCTATTTTTTTCAATATATGAGTCAACTGATAAACTAGAATATATATTGTCATTTACTATGGCAACTTATTTTAATTTACCAGAGAAGACGGCGCGCCGTGCTTCGTTAACAACAAGTCGAGCACCCTTCTGGTTTCCAATTTGTAATTAGACATGAAAGAAACCGCAGAAGAAATTAATTACACTCTTTGTTTTGCAGTCAGCATGTAAGTACGCACGTTACTCTACATAAGAACGCGATGAATGTGCCTATTTAAGTTCCGAACGTAAACTAACTGAAATCAATCTGGAATATCTTCATTATCATTGGTTTTAATTGATAAGTATTTCTCTTCTATAGATTATGACGTGTTTGATTATGCGTTATATCTTCGAGGTTAATAGTCAGTTATTAAGTTAATTTTAAGTTCGACTTGTTTGGATTCATAGAGCAAGGCATCGTCGTAGTCGTGACTCAACTAGCAAAGAGTACGAATGATTTATACTTTAAGAAATCGATCTCAGTGGTTGTTACGTGTGTAGTATTTCTAGTAAGTCTATTTTTATTTTCATTTGCATATCGTACGGAAATTTTGAAGAATATCACTTGATTATTGATGATAATAATCGTATTAGAAAATATTATCAATAGTTCTCTTTTTCAACTATTTCAGAAAATTGTTTACACCTTGAGTTCAGTATTTCTTTGAATGATTCTGTCATCAAGTTTTCTGGAAGAATCTGAGAATGATTAAAACGTTTATTCATTCGAAACCGATTTGTTTGCGTCAATTCTAGTTCTACGAATTGGAACAAGGATAATTAAAGCGTACGTATGTAGTTTCGAGACCTTGACTTATATTTTTATTGTAACGTTTTATTTTTTGCTTATCGATGTTTGTTATAACATTTCTGTCCGCTTCGACTAATTTTTTTAGTCCGCTTGTCTAGTTTACTTTAGACTAGACTATAGTTACGCGCGCCGATAGTGCAATGCCTATCGCGTGTAATCTGATGCAGAGGAACGAATGACAAATTGAAAAGACTCACTATGGACAGTGACAGGCGATTATTCGCGGAGCTCGACAAAAGTTCCGTGCGCAAGTTGCTTAAAATTGAAATGTGCTTTGTCTTCGATTGCATGTGTCTCTTCACGTTTCTATATCTATTCGTGTATTTAATCGGCCGTCAAATTTAGAGGTTAGGTATCCCCGTTGTCCTTCACTCGTCGCTAAAGACTGACCGTAGCGAGCAGAATTATTTTTGATTCGAAGGCATAAAAGTTTACGCAAATTGCGTAAACTTTAGTCATGATTCGAAGAGAAATCATGGTGCTGTGATTCGATTTCAGCATCGAAAAATGGATATAGAAGAGAGAATCGTTCGCAAGCGCACTTTTCGAAGCTTTCTGCAACGCATACCGCAGCGTTTGTCAGAAGTGGTAGAACATTTTTTCTACGGGTAGGTTTGATAATTTTCTTCCTGAGTAATATGAGAATTCTTCGCAGTTACGTAGTTTGATATCACATGTTCTTTTTTCAGGCTCGGGTTGCGAATTTCTCGCCGACCGTTGAAATGGATAATTGGAAGTACTGTGATAGTATTAATTTCCCTTTCTGGTTTATATTTTTTTCATCAAGAAAAGAATCCTGTGAAATTATGGGTTCCGCAGGATTCTGATTTTGTTCGTGATACAGAGTGGATGTTTAAACAATTTGAACAGGGTTTAAGGATAGAAAATATGATATTAACTGCTGATAACGTATTAGAACCAAAAGTTCTTACAAAGGTATCTATTTTTATTTGTATATTTTATTATACCATCGTGCCTGTAATATGTATTTTAGTTTGATTAATTAAGTATTTTGTTTCAGCTGAATGAAATAACGAAAGAAGTTATTTCTGTTCAAACTCCTGATCAAATTGCATGGACAGATGTTTGTTTCAAGTAAGCATTCTTCTACAAAAGTTTTCAAACAAGTTTTAATTCGTGGATATTATAAAATTATGGATATTGTAAAAATCAAAACTAATTTCTCTTTCCTTAATAAATAGAGTACCTGTTATATCAGGTATTGTGCATAGAAACAAACGCAGCGATCAGCTTGATGATGATTTTTTTGACATTGAACCAGAGACACAAATTAATAACACTGTATTTGAACCTGCAGTTCATGCTAGTCCTAAGCTTTATTGTAATATAATAAATAACTTGCCAAAAGCTTGCCTTGTAAATAGTATTTTGGATATATGGGAATATGATGCCAATATAATCCTACATAAATCTAAAGAAGATATTATTAAAGATGTACATAAAACAAAAATTAGTCCTACTTTGGGCCATCCACTAAACTTTACAGAATTATTGGGTGGCATAGTAAGAGATGAAGAGGGTAGAATTATCTCAGCCACAGCTGTAAAAACACAATGGGCAGTTAATGTAAATTTTTCAAAAGTGGATATGAATAATTTTGGCAACGATATTGGAACAGCTGATTGGGTAAGGTAAGTTTATAAAAAGGCCTAAATCATGATTTTTGAATGATTTTGAATTTAAAAAATCCAATAGAAATATTATTTACTATTTGATGGTATATAATATGTCAATTAAGTATTTTATATGATTTAGGCCTTATTTAAAACATTATTTATCTATAGATATGTAAATTTTATAACATTTCTGATCTTGAACAGAATCAATTTAAATTTTGTTTGTAATAAATTTGTTTGCATGTGTATGTTTTATATGTAGTATGAAAAATTCCAACAATTGGTGTTTGTAGGCAACAGATGACGTATTACAGTGGGAATTATCCTACTTGGATGTATTGCACAAGAATGCAAGGATCTTAAAGAATGAAAATAATGTAAATAATACATTAGCTATCTGGTATGAAGCTGGCAGAAGTTTCGGCGATGTTACTTTTGTAACAATGTTTGGAAATATTGGTATATTATCAATAGGATTCATTTTAATGTTTTTTTACGTTCTAGTCATATTCTCGGATTATACATGGGTGGGATGGAGAGTGAGTATTAAAAAGATGTAGTTATGTGAAGTAATGTAAAATTTTAAATTGAGATAGGAATATTATACATATTCATAAAAAGATTTTGTAAAACCAAATTTTATAAAATATGATTTTTCTCAGGTATATCTTACAATTGTTGGTCTTTTGTGTGTGGGTGGCGCCTTTATTACTTCAATCAGTATATGTTCTGTTCTTGGAATTGCATATGGCCCTGTGCATACTTCTTTACCTTTTATGTTGTTGGCTCTCGGAATAGACGATAATTTTTTAATAATGGCGTCTTGGAAAGAAATACATACACACAAGTTGAATCGAAATAAGCCATTAGAAGAAAGAATAGCTTTAATGTTAGGACACGCAGGCTCTGCTATTATTATTACTTCTCTTACTGACGTTGTTGCTTTTATTATTGGTGCATCTACAGTAAGATTGAGTTTAACTTCATACATAAAAATGAAAAATAACTTCATACATAAAGATGAAAAATATGTGTGTGTATATTTAAATTTTACGTGTAATTTTAGATATTGCCATCTCTTCAATCATTCTGTATTTACGCGGCAGTTGGAGTACTACTGACGTTTTTATTTCAAATCACGTTTTACGTTGCCTTTTTCTCCATCGATGCTCGACGAATTGAAAATAAAAGAAATTCGATATTGCCTTGCATCGTTCATGAAAACTTTGAACAGAAATTAATCAGTCCGCAAGAAGAATTTTCCGCCAAGTTGATAAATAAATTATATTCAAATGTAGTTTTGACAAAACTTGGAAAAATAATGATAGTATTAATAACAATAGTTGCAACATCGTTTGGAATTATGGGTACATTAAAGTTGGAGCAATGGTTCGATCCAGATTGGTTTATACCAAGCCATTCATACCTAAGCAAATATATTGATGTACGACACACTGAATATCCCGAACAAGGTTACGAGGCAATGATTCTTATGGGAGATTTCAACTATACCGCCGAGTTTCCAAAGTTGATAAGATTAGTGGAACGATTTGAAAATTTATCAACGATACAAAGTATACATCCATGGCCCAATGATTTTGCCAAATTTGTCTCGGAATATTTTCAAAAAGGTTGGCGATATTCTTTAGTATTAAAACAATAATAATTCAAGAAGAAATTGTAAGAAATAAATCAATAATAAAATATTTTAATTAATAGATTTGAGGAATGTGACATTAGAGGATGCGGAATTCCGGAAATATTTGTCCAAGTTCCTATTTAGTCGAAATGGAGGCAAATATCAACGGAACTTCCGCTTCAAAGAGAGCTTAACGTGCGGCGAAGATACTGCACCGATTCTAGTAGCTACTGTAGATTTTACCTTTAGACGATTCTATAGTCCTCATCAGTGGATCCCAGCAATGGATGAAAGTAAACAGATGACACATGATGCCGGAGTCGATGGTTTCATTACAGTCTGGAGCGAAGTATTCAGCTTATGGGTCACTGATAAATTAATTGCTCAAGAAGTGCAGCGTAATGTTTTCTTGGCTCTGATTTGTGTTATGGGCATGACAGGGTTGTTAATCGCTGAGCTGCAGACATGCTTCTGGATCTTCTTATGCGTACTTCTTACACTTTTAAATGTTTGTGGATTCATGTATTTTTGGGGTTTGACGATAGATATTTCATCTTGTATTGGTGCGTAATTTCTTGATCTTGTAACAAAACTTTTGACACAATTCTCACAAGTGAACACAACAATCAACACCACTATATTACAAATTTTTTTTCTTCCAGGTTTAGAATTGGGCATTGGATTATGTGTGGACTACGCAGCTCATGTTGCACACGCGTTTATCAATGCTGCATGCGTAAGCGAAAATGAAGATCGTACAAAGAGAGCACATGTCGCTGTTAGGTACATTGGAGCAGCGGTTGTATATGGTGCTGGTTCAACGTTACTTGCACTTTCCATGATGATATTTTCGGACAGTTATGTGTTTCATTTGTTTCTGAAGATTTTTGTTTTGGTAATATTATTTGGCCTCTGGCACGGATTGTTTCTTCTACCTGTGATATTAAGCACGATTGGGCCAGGAAGTCTACGATCACGCAAAAAACCGGAATCTCCTGAGAAAGTGGAGGATGCAGGCGACACTATTACTAGTCCTTTGAATAAAGAAACGGAGAGTTAAACATTACGCCTAAGAGATGATTCTTTATCAATAATATTTATTTTTGGTTCAATAAACATACAAAATTATTACACTATTCGTACTATTAATCACACATTTATACAAAAATAATAATAATAAAGATCGGATAACTTAAAAACGGTATTATTTATATATATATATTTTTTTTATCTAATATATTAAGATTAAAAAAACAAGTACAAAATAATGTAGCAAGGTTGATATAGATTTATTAATAATAATTATTGATCGGAAAGGAACATGACTATTATAAACGTAACGTAATCGTGTTGCTGGATGCATTATCTTTTTTTTTTTTTTTTTTTTTGTATGTATAATCATAATTAATGTTTATGACGTAAAAATGAGCGGCGAGGGAGCAACCCCGGATTGATTGGCAAGCTCCCTCCGCTGCCTCTCTCAGTCTTACACAGTCCACAAACATTCATGCAAATCTTTCATTCGAATGATCTGTCATTCTGTCTTCCTTATTTGTCATCTCACTCTGTGCCAATGGTCTCGCTCCCAGCTTTTATCGAGACCATTCTTTTGACGTAAGATCGAGACTTGCCCTCTTGAGCGGAGACAAGGCAAACAAGAAGAAGACCTAAATATATGCTCATACGTACACGGTCATCCTACGACAGAGACATTCGATTGAGGCGTACGTTCTCTCTCCAAATATACGATTCAGCATACACGGTAGTAGACTGCCGGGGCAGCAAGCCACGCACGAACGATACGGCGATACACATCTCCTTACTTAGTTCGAATTTTACAAATTGGGATCGTACATTCCATAATTAATGAGGAACCATCGATACAATAATAATATTTACTTAGCAAAACGTGCCGATCGGTAGTGTGGCGAAGGACGCGTGATGTGTGAGCACAGTTAAACGCGTTACGAAGGGAGGGGGGAATTTGATGATAATAACGATGATATTGGTGGTGGAAGGGGCGATAAGTTGGCGCAGGAGGACGTTGGTAGAAGGGAGAGGCGGGTTCCCCTTCGTTTTAAGGGCTGATGATGATCGGGCAAAGAGGAAGGTTGATTGAGAACGTTTTCAGGAAAATTGCACGTCTGCTTGCCAGGAATTCAAGGTACACGCACTTTATAGGGATACACCATGGGAAAGACACTCAGGGCAGACACTGACATAGAGACTAGGCTACCGACTATATGTATACCTATCTAAACGTATAATTAGCGTACGCACCGCGTACACCCGGTACGCCCGCACTCCGCCCCGCCTTTCGGGTTGTTCTTTTATTTATTTTTTTTTTTCTCTTATTATTTCTTTTGTGTTTCAATAAGCAAGCACGTGTATGTGTTTGTTACACGCGCCACTATTTTTCACTTTCTATTTGTCTTCCTTTCTCTCTCTCTCTCTCTCCTCTCTCGCTCTCTCCTTCCCACTCGTTTGTTTCACTTTCTTTTTATATTTCTTTTCTATCTCCTCCCTTTTCCGTTTTTTTTTTTTGTTTTTGTTTTTTTTTTTTAATTTTTTTTTTTATCGTTTTTTTACAATCAGCGATCGCGTCGTAGTCGTGCTTTTATAGTAAACGCTATGTAGTCTTTATTACTCAAGCTTATGCCCAAAAATCTACCAGAGGCACTTTGGGTTTATTAGTACCATTTGAAGTCGGCGTGCGCGGGGGAGGGCGCTGCGAGTCATTTGTTTTTTTTTTTTTTCTTTTACCTTTCTTATTCATTTATTTATTTATTTTTGTCATTTGCAAGTGATACAGCGACTGAACGACGTGAGTTTCTTTTCAGTTTTTTTCCTTGTGCTGCTCGACTTGGCGGAGTACCCTGTCTGTGATCCATTTTTTTTCTTCGTCATTCACGTGCGTTCACCGCTTTGAAATTTACACGCCCATCCATTCCCCCTCCCCCGTTCCTTTCCCGTAGCCTACCAACTCCGCATCTTTCCCTGCTGCCTTACCTTTCCACACACGGTCTTCCGATGTTTTTTGAGCAATAAATACTTTCTCCACTGACAACTGCACATTGAATTGACGCACGGGACACACACACACTCACCGCGTACACAAACAATTCGCTCACATTCGCTACCACAGCCGTTCGCGTCGACAGAACTCTCGAAGGTTGCTCCAACTCGAACACCCTCGGTCGATATGAATTCTTTTCACGATAGTATCGATATTTTATCGAAGCTAACCTACGCGGAATCGAGAAGTCTTGTCACGTGATGAAACGCGTCGTTCGGTTTCGGATGTGCGTTTGTAAAAACGGCAACGTTAATCGTGTGATTAACTTGGAAGAAATGGTGTAGCGAAGATTGTGAAGGTTCCTAGTGAAGGATTTTCGAAAACGATGATACCAGTTTTGATCATTCTCTCTCTCTCTCTTTCTTTCTTTCCCTCGATACATACACACACGCATACACACATATATATATCTATATATATTAAAACGAATGATTTATACAATTCGACTTGTTTGAAAATGACGCGCAGGTAAAATGTTCCTAGAACAAAGAGGATTTTTGAGTGCTGTCTATCGCGAACGGCTCTCAGTCACTCTCATCTGTATCAATTGTTTTAAACTTCCATCCATACCCAATATGGCTACATCCACAGAGTTTAATGTTACGCTTTAATTAATGATTATCAATTCATATCAATTCAATATCAATGTATTACAATCAGACAATACTCAACAGTGATCGTTATTCATTATATATTACAATAATTAAGAGTGACAACAACATGACGACGGAGGCGTTGAAGCATTACAAGGGAGAAGAGAGAGTGGCACAATTGTGATTTCATAGGAATGATGAGATAGAGTAGAAGAGGCGCCGATAGTGGACATCTTTACTACATGTAATACAAAGAGAGGTAATGATGACACGAGGACAATGAGGGGCCATTTTTTTTCTGATGAACATGGATTGCGCGACAATGATCAAGTGAATACCAGGTGATGGATGCACGACGATGAGAACGAACGATTAATGATAAAATGGAACAATGAGCTGGAGACCAAGGAGGGGAAGCACGCACACTCAACACAACCGTCACATCGAGCTGGCCTCGCGCGCGGCCATAGTCCATAGATTAATACCTATCAACTAATACACAGTCTGTCTCCGATTTCGCGGATGACTTCTTCCTTTTTCTCCGTTTTGGATGCATGTAAGTATAAATAATACGCGTAATGCATGGCGTACGTACAGTATGGCGTCACTCGACGATATCGATGCTCAAAAGCTCACGTTTACAAATTTTGGACGAGAATTGCTATTGCGACGCCTCTGTTTTTTTCTTCCTTTCTTTCTTTTCTTTCTGTTTCTTTCCTTTCTTCTTGCTCATTCTTTCTCTTCAATCGTGATCAATCGTCACGAGAGAAACCATCTCGGCATCGGCGCGCCGATACTGTACGCGCGCTTGTTTTCCGGATACTGCATATACATACACACATACTTTTGCGCCGGTATAAAGTGTATATATGTACACATATACATACGACATACCATCCATGTATATATAATATACCCATATTGTTTAATTAATCATCGTTAATCGTTAATTATCTTATTTATTAAAATTCGTCAGTTCGTAATTCAAAAAAATTTCAGCTAGTAGCGGTGGATGGAAATGTTTCTTCGTTAAAAATCGCCGATCACCGATAGCGGCGGCGAGTATCGGCCGTTTTAAACACATTTACAAATTATCGGCTTGATCGGCTGATTCGTTCACTCACTTATAACACTAATGTCCTATTATTTTTTTTTTTTTTTTTTTTTTTTTTT